AATGCCAATGGGTATTACTATTTGCAAGCTCGTAGAAAGGGTTTACTAACAGAAAAAGACAAGAAAAAAAGGCTGAAGTTTGCAAAATGGATATTGAAGGAAAAACCTAAAGATTTTTGGTGTAAGAACATAAACTTTTATCTCGATGGAGTTGGTTTTGTATATAAACGAAATCCTAAAGACCAGGCTTTGGCCGCGAATGGACCAGTGTTGAGAAAGAGAAGCGAAGGACTTGGTCAAGATTGCACAGCAAAAGGTCAGGCTTGTGGTACAGGAGGTAAATATGTCAAGTTACCATCAGTTATGGAAGAGGGGTTACATGTGCCAAACGCTACGAGAGTATGAATGGGGAGTTATTTGCTGGGTTTTTAGTTGAGAACTTTGAAAACATCATGAAAGCAGAAGAAACGTTTTCAAGAATGTGGGTTCAAGATGACGACCCATCTCAAAACAGTGCCAAGGCAAAAAAGCGATGCAAGTTAATGCAGAGCTATTTTCCATTCCAGCAAGAAGCCCGGACATGAATCCGATCGAGAATATATTCTCAATCACAAAGAAAATATTTAATGATGGGGCCATAGAGAAAAATATTTGCTGTGAAACAATAGAGGAGTATCATGAGAGAATAATAAATCTAGTACATGGAATTCCAGTTGATAAAATTGACAAAATTATTTATTTGATGAATCACAGAATGCAGATGATTGTCAAATCTAATAGCGAACAAATAAAGTATTGACTTATCATAGGTAGTAAAAGGGGAACAAATCTTTATCGTAATGTTATAATAACATAAGTAAAATATATGGGTCCCAATCAGGTTCCGCACAGGTCCCACTACAACTGCATATGACTAAGTATGGATATGCATGGGTTCCAACGGGTCCCACTGATAAATCAAAAATATAAAGTATAATTTAACCCGTGTACCTCAATACTTGGCCATATACAACTATACCATGGGAATAAACATAACAGCATAGAGCAATCAATATGTGATTGTAAATTGATTAGTATTAATTAAATTAACAATCATAATGATAATTATATTGATAATTAAAATAATAATTACAGTTATATGCCAGTAGCAAAAATCAGAGTGCCCTTGTCGAAAAGGATGTCTTGGGCATATGTAGACTTTGGAGCAGCCAAGTGCACAGTTTGTCCCTCCAAAAAACATAGAAAGTCATTCCAGGCCATTGTTTCGGTGCTATACGAAAGTCATTGAGCAATAAAACTTGGGCTTTCTCAGCTCCCAACCAAGCATAGCTAGTATTAGCAGGGTTTGTGAACGTTTCGAAGAGGTCATTCAGAGGATTCAATAAAAATGTTTTCCCACAGTTTGCAGGGCCAGTGATCATTATGTTTCTAAACTTTCCTCTCCCCTTCTCCAAAAGATTACGCATTGAATAGGCGAAAACATATTTGTTTACTTTTTTGTTGTGCAACACGTCCACAGCACATTTCAAACCAGAGCCCATTACGGCTGCTCTTGCATTCTTTTGCCACCTCTTCTTTAACCATTTCCATTCGCAACACTTTCCTCTCCCCTTCTCCACAAGATTACTCATTTTCCAAGTCGTAGCTATGAGCTCGTTCAAGGCGTTAGCAGATTTGCCCAGTACAAAATTGGCAAGTTCAAGCCTGCTCTCTTCTCTTTGGGTGTTTGCAAGAGCCAATAGTTCATTGCAGGCCCCATCTCCAGGGAATTTTTTCTTAGTTGAATCCATGGATACAGGTTTCAATTCCGTCTATGTGGACTCAGATTTTTTAGTACAGGTGCAGGTCCTTCATTTCCTTTTGTTGCTCCATACCTCAAATTTCTTACAAGGGTGATGAACCCACTGGGACAGATATACCATCCTCCCTTGCATCATATGTTGAGGGATGCACCAAAAAGGAAAAAAAGAAGGATTTGGAGGTATATCGCAAACAACATCCTTTACCAAAAAATGGCGTTGTATGTTGCAAAATCTGGTTCCCAGATCTCGGAAAACCTTATTACGGCAGACAAAACTTCCAACCAAATAATTTAAACCGACACAGCCCCTCACGGAGAGGCAAATTTCATCGACAACCACAGCATCAGCAACAACAAGAAAACACCAAGAACCAATAAATGGGGTAAAATCCCGCACTAAATTTTTTCATAAAAATTGGTGTCAAATTAATACGAACAAATTTGTTCCGAATCTCATTAAAGTCATTAAGCTGAAGTTTTCATGCCGTTGACTGAATTTGCTTCTTGACCAATAAATTTCTCTCCCGTAGAGATGTCTCTTATAGACATCAAAGTTCAATCTTTGCTAAAAATATGAGCAATTTTTTTAGATTACCGAAGGACAAATTCTTTCAAATATTTTTCTTTGTCCAAAGAAAGATACACCTATAAGAAACTTAAAAGGCCTGAATTTGCATCTTGAAAAAATTAATTTTAAGATGGAGAACTTATCATTATTTTGCTCTTTATTTGCAAAGGAGCTGTCGTGGCATCCATTGATCTGACTGATGCATACTTCTCACTTCCAATTGCCAAAAAGTCGAGAGAATTGCTGCGCTTCCAATAACGTGACATGCTTCTAGAGTACCAATGGCTCTGTTTTGGACTTTCTTTAGCTCCTTATTTTATTACAAAGGTTATTCAACCAGTTTTCTTCAGACTTCGTCAGGAGGGAATTCTGTGTTTGTAATGCAGTTCAGTCACTTAACAACTCATCATGCTGTACTATGTCGTTAGTAACGTAATATATTGTATGGGTTTCACATAATAACCTCTGTTCAATCATTGACTCATATCCAATATCTCACAAGACATGACTAATTTTAGTAGAATATCAGATTCGTAATTGCCATATAACTATTGTAGTAAATTGCAACAGGTTATTTTTGATTGGCTTATATTTTTATCGCATTTCATATTTGTTTTTATTCAATTTTTGTTGAGGTATGCTCTTAGTGTTCTTCTCTGACTTCAAGTGTTTTCCACTTACCTTTGAAGTCTCACATCAGAACGCAATAAACTGTGCAAGCACAGTCACCTCGATGCGCAGACGAGGCGAAGAAGAAATAAAATTGGAGGAGTCTTGACAAAGTGGAATTCGTCAAGACTCCTCCAATCTTTATTTCTTTGATAACAATAATGATAATGATTACGTTTTTTTAAAGGTCCCTGTACACTACCAGGACAAAAGTATTGCAACACTAAAATAAAAATGTGATCCCATAAAATTGAAGTTTTGCAAACTAATTTCTTTATGCTGAAATATTCTCCTTAAAAGAGGAATTAATCATGCTAAACCAGTAGTCAAGTTCCTTGAAATTTGTTGAGGATTTTTAAATAGATAGAATTAAAATATTAAGATAAGAAATTTTACAGTTATAAGAAAAAAATATCTGCAGTGGAAAAATCAAAATATAGCCAAATAAGGAGATAGTTGTTGTGCAAGTAGTTTTTACTCCACGAAAAATTTAATCACACCTCCTTTGTCATTTTGGATGCAACCACTACTGATTTTAAATTTAGCTTTACGGATGATTTTACCTAATTTGAGCAACAAAGAGAGCAACAAAATATCCACAAAGAAGCATCTTATTAATTGCAAGTATTTTCATTCGTGTTTTTGAAGAAGA